AGTGGTGTTTTGGAAAGCTCTCACTGAGTGCAGCCCATTTTTCTGCATTCCAAGGCCAGCTCTTCCCAGCCCACCCCAGTTTCTCCTGAGGGTTTTCCATGCTGGTGCCTACAAAGGGTGGATGAGGAGATTTTGCTCTGCCAGTGCCAGGCTGCAATTAGGCGTGTTTGCAGAGACTGAAAGCAGGGGATGCACAGCATGACCCCAGCCCCTGCTAAATCAGCCTCATTATTTTCATGCCCTGCCTTGTGCAGGCCTGCCCCATGCTGCAAAATGTTCAACACCAGAAATCACAGCAAGAGAAAGAAAACCTGCCCCACAGTGGAAAACAGATTATACATTCTGCTATCCTTCCACAGATGAGAAAGGAACTCTTCTGGTGATGCTTCATGCACTTTACAAAATGCTGAGACACGTGGTACTCCCATTCACAACCCATGAATGGCATAAACAATACTGGGGGAAAAAATCCCAGCATTGAGCATCTGCACAACAACTTCTCATCTATTTACAAGATTTAAAAAGCAACTGAAGATCCAAGAGTCATGGCAACAGAATCAAAGCAGAATCACATTTTGTTCATAAATGCAGTAGTGCAGGCAAGACTTTGGATCTAATAATACCTAAACAGAATGAACAAATAAGAAACTGTCAAAAGAGACTAAAACAGAAGCAGACTTAGAAAAATCCAGGACAAATCTTGAAGAGGCAAATTTAAGCCAAAGGTTTTGCACTGCAACTCTAGAAAAAGCACTCAGTGCAAGAGAATTAGAATTAAAGTCTTCCAACAACAAAAACTCCAACACTACAGAGAAATCACGTGTGAAACTAATAACTGATGAAAATTAGAATAAAACATACAGAAAAGCAACATCTAATAATGAAAATATGAATTCAGAGACCATTTATTTAAACCTTAACCTCTATCAACTCAATGTATGGCTCCTGCACATTTTCTTCCATCTTATTCAGGTACTTAACTAAAAAGCATCTGCAAGAATTTTCTGTAATAGCTTAGACAAACAAGACTGTTTGTACAATTATTTAGTCATCTCCAACACCACATAAATTCATCCTGACAGGCTCTGCAGATTTATACCAGGGATCATATGCATTATATTTTTAGTCCTAATTTTCCACATCTCTCCCTTCTGAATTTTCCATTCCATTGCCCATCTCAGAACAAGGAAAACAACAGTACAAAACACTGGACACTCTCTGAACTGGAATGAACAGGAGATAATGGTGACCTGTACAAGGATTCAGTCCATTCCCCTTTGGACAGTTCTGCCCCTCGTCCTTGGCCCCAAACAGACCCATGGCTTTCCTTGCTGCCACACAAGCCCCACACACAGGCCTGCTCACAGCCCTAGATGATGTTTTCTATGAGTCAAGAAAATTATCTAAGCTATTTTAAGAATGTTAAGGCTGAAGGATTAAACACTCCAAAGCACCAAGAAGTGACAAGCTAAGAATCTATCTCCTATATTACTCCTTTGTTGAGATTATTTACTACAAAGCTCTTATTTCACCATTATGTTTTCCAAACCAGAAATATTCTCTTTCTTGATGATAACAAAGTGTATTTTGAGTAAGACAAACAAGACTGCAGCACTCAAACCTTTTAACATAACAGTTCTAGTTATACTATTACAGCTTATGCTTCCAGATGCATTTTTGCCCTCACACTGAATTTTTTACATAGACTTTCACTTGTCTGGATGAAAAAGTCTCAAGTCAGAAACTACAGTAATATGTCCATATTCAGCCACACAAAATCCAATTATTTTGTTCAGGCTTTGAAATAAAGTACACCATTTTCCAATAATTAGATTCTCTGAAGTAATCCAGTATTTCAAAGGAATAAGGTAACAAAATATTTATCCTTTTTTATCCCTTATTCCATTACAATGTCAAACTATTATTTAGATTCTCATTCTCAAATACTTCCAAAACCACTTTATTTGGGGAAAAAGATTTAAATTATCAGATGTTAGCTTGAGTACTATATCCCTAGCATACAGCTTCCATAAAAATGCTGTTCACCACTGGAAACAAATTGTGTTTTGCCAGAAATACGTGCAATAGCTGCAATTATCTCTGAAGCATAGACTTCCTACCTTTTGATGTGCAACCCTTGAATTGAGATTGCATGAAAAGATCAACAGTAGCTTTTCTGCAAAGCACAGGCCACAGAGTTAACTCCTATCTGCATCAAATAATCTCTGCAGAAAGCTGCAGAGCTTTTTATTGAAACATTTCCCCAACATAGATAATCCACCCCAGACCACACATGGTCAGACATGTGTCCTGTTCCTCTGGCTTGGATTTCCCCAGCTGCAGCTCCCACACTTTATTTCAAACTTGCCTGCAGACTCCAGCTCATCACCCTCATTTCTGTGACTGATCAAGTAGTCATTCTTTAACCTTTGGGTTCTCCCTGTCTCACAAGATACTCAGTAGCTTCTGAGCCTTCAGGGAAGTTGTTGATTAGAGGTAATTCTGAACTGCTGACACCAGCAGTAAGTCCACTGCCCACATGTTGCTGGAGACTTGTGATCCCTGCTCTCCTTGTGGGGGCACAGCCATGTCCTTGGCAGGTGACAAACCAGGCCTGTGTCCTTGGCTCCCTGCTGACCTGGGTCACACAGAGCACCCGGGGTTTGCAGGTGTCAGACCCCTCAGACCTCGCTGCCCCTTCAGTTCCCAACAGCCCCCTCAGGCTCTGTGTCTGTCCCACAACAGTTTTGGGTTCTGTTCCAGTCCCTGGTCACCACCTGGCCTGGGCTCAGCAGGAACCATGGGGGCACTGCCCAGCCCTCACTCCACACAAAGCCCATCCCACACACACTGCTCACTGCCGAGGCTGTGCCACTCTGGAACCCCAAAAACAGAGCTGCATCAGCCACCCCCAGACACAGCACCTGAATAAAA